AATTTTGCCTTGTAGTAAACTGTTGAGAGTTTTGTCAATGAGGTTTCTAGCGGCAGCGAGAGTCTTGTCAACTAGGGCTCCTCCGCTAGCTGCGTCGATCATGCTCCTATCCATTGGGTGTAATCCCTCATAGAAGTATTGGATTAGCAGCTGGTCACTTATCTGATGATGAGGGCAGTTAGCACATAGTCTCTTGAAACGCTCCCAATATTCATACAAACTTTCCCTCTCCAGCTGCCTAATACCACATATTTCCTTTCTCATGGAAGCAGCCCTTGAGGCAGGGAAATTTTTTTCCAAGAACAATCTCTTGAGGGTGTCCCAACTTGTAATAGAGCCAAGTGGAAGATAATACAACCAATCTATAGCCAAATCCATAAGAGAGAATGGAAAAGCCTTCAATTTCACATGCTCTTCAGGCACACCTTGTGGTCTCATTGTAGAGCAAACAATATGAAATTCCTTGAGGTGTTTATATGGATCTTCACCTGCAAGACCATGAAATTTAGGCAAAAGATGGATTAGGCCAGTTTTAAGAACAAAAGTGGCATCCACATCCGGGTATTGGATGCACAAAGTCTGGTAAGTCACGTCCGGTGCGGCAAGCTTCTTAAGTGTCAGGTCATTTTCTGCCATTTCTAAAGGTTCAAAATTTAAAGAATGCAGAGAAGAATAGATAGAAGATGGTGAAGATGGTTCCTCAGTATGTTCAGAGTTTTGTCTATTAAAGTTCCTAAGATTCCTATGGAATGTCCTATCAATTTCAGTATCTGGAGGATATAAATCTCTCATATTTGATCTGGTCATTCATTAGGAATTAGCTATGGAAATTGAAAAGAAGTAAACTAATGAAACAGTAAAAATGCAGAAAAATTCAGATGATAATTATGCAGAAAAACTAACATCTAAGTGCAGTAAAATAAAGCATTAACACCAAACAGCAAAAACACAAAGAAATTGCAAACTATGGAACGAAAATATGCAACACACAAGCACAAATTCTTTAGAATTTTGCAGAATTATGTAGCAAAAACAGAGTAGAGTGCAGCAAACGAAAATGCAGTGTGGTAAACTAAATTGCAGAAATCAGAATTCACTAAACATGCCGAAAATGAAAATGAAAACAAAGCAAATAACATGTTTATGAAAAATCAACACCAATGTATCCTCGGCAACGGTGCCAATTTGATGATCGAACTGATTTGTCATTATGTTTAAAAGATTTGTCACAAATCCTCATCAAAATTTAAACAACTTAATGTAGTACTAGGGTTACCCTAGATTGTCTCCCGTGAACATTGACTATTAATTTTTATTAAACATGTTGAAGGCATTAATTGAACAAGCAATTAAAATGGGGGGTTTTGTGGTTTCAAATCAATATAAAGAGCAACAAGCAAACAAGTTTAATTAATTCAAACAATAGAAAGCAGCAATCCTTAGTTCATCCACAAAGATTTTATCCTCATTCCACTCAAGATTTAACATTCATCCTCTCTCCCATGAATTAGGTTAATTTAACAAGTGAAAATCAACCTTATGGTCCTAACGAAATTACGCAATTTGCTAGGCTCTAATCCCTCATCCCAAAGTTACACAACCTTAGAATTAAACCTAGGATTAAGCAATCCCTAGTTTAGAATCTCCTTAAAATGGATTAGGGTTAATTAAGCAATATCCCCCTTAATAACCATTAATTCAATTCAAGAGACAAGGAAGAAATAATTCATGAGAAGAAAGGAATTATATTATCATTAAAATCAAGGAACTCAAGAATCCATGTGAACTCACTAAGGATTACACAAAATTTATCCCTCCATGGAAATGGGGGTCAAAAATGCATGTTGGTAATGCAAAAAACTCATTGGCATTAATGTAAAAGCAAGAGAAATGAGAAACCAAACCCTAAGTTGGACCCTTGGCTATCACCCAAGGTTGCCCTAAGCTCTGGAAAATCGTCCTAATTAAGTAAGGAAGAGAAAAGGTACGAGAAAATGTGAGATGTCTCCACCCTAATTTGGTAAAAATCTATTTATACTAAGGTAGGCACCCTCCAAAGTAATCACTATGAATCTTCAGAGTAAACACGCGCAGCATCAGTGAATTCTGGGCTCTCTAGAGTGTTCACTATGAAAGTTCATAGTGAACACGTGCATTCTGCACCCTCTGGAGTGATCACTGTGAATTTAGAAAGTGTTTACGCTTAGCTCCTGAAATTCTGCACTCTCTAGAGTGATCACTTTCAACTTAGAAAGTGTTTACGCGTAACTTAGTGGATTATGGGCTCTCTGGAGTGATTACTTTTAACTTTGAAAGTGATCATTTTGGTCCCTTTGCTAAAAGTAGCTTGCTGTAGTGGTTACTATCAATCTTGAAAGTAGTTACTTTCACCTCAAATTCCTCAAAATCCAATAATTCTTCAAAATATGCTTGGGAATTCCTGCCACATTATTCAAATGATTAAAACATGTAAAATAAACTATCTAAACCAATGTAAATTAACCAAAAACTAAGAAACCTATATTATTTAGCCTAATTGGAATGTTCATCTTATTTACACTATCTAAGTCTATTCTTTCCTATAAAAAGTAATAAAAGATGTATAAAAATTTAGTAAAATGTGGATTCATCACAACCCCAAACTTAAACTTTTGCTTGTCCTCAAGCAAATCAAAATTCAAGAACTTAAGTAATAAGGGTTGGACTTATCCAAAAAAATTTCTCAAAATTTTCCTGTTCCAATCTTTCAACTCTAACATACGCTTCTTCCATTTCAAAATCATGGAGTCATTCAACAAAGAAAGCACACTCATGTCAATTAATTTTATGCAAAGTCCCATACAAGTGAAACAAAACTTCAACAAGATTCATTATACTTCACACAATGCAAAGAAATTATCTAGCTCACAAGGTGGTGTTTCACTCTTCACTCGTCAGTGTTTCAAGCTAGGTATTTTCCCTCAACATATGCAAATTGCTCTACCCTACCATATGCTTGCCCATATTCTCAATCTCTTTTGCCTTAATACAATGATTTACCTATCAAAAGGACTTGGTTGGTCACAAATAGGGATAGGTAAGGTTCAATTTGGTCAAGGAGGGTCAAAAGCTCAAGTGGGTTTTCAAGATAAGGGAATCCTTTTGAGTGAGTGAATACAACAATTAGAATGAAATGCATCAAATGAGGTAGCCTAAGAGGTCCAAGCATTCTTTCACCTTATTTTTCATCAATTTTCATTATGTGAAGATCTCTTCAATCTCTTGGACCTTGCTTCATTTATTTTCTTTCCTTTTTCATTCTTTCTTTTATGATTTCTTGGACTTTTACAACCACTTTTTTTTTAAAATTTAAGCAAAAATTTTTTTTGACATGTATTAGTAACATGTATGATGTCTACCACCTCAAACTTGAGAGGTTGCTTGTCCTCAAGCAACTACCATCAAAATCAACACCCCAAACTTAGTGTTTGCATTCACTCTTGATGTTACTAAAAAGAAATACGTTCTGGATGGAAGAAAAAAAAAGTTTTGGCAAACTAAGTTTGGCAAAAGATGGGGATGTAATACAATAAGGTGCAAGGGTGGCAATGGTGAGTGTGTGTGTAAAGGAGGCCCCAATCATCTAGATAAAAATTTGCATAATGCATATTCAACTGTCTCTCCTTCAGATGTGGATTCATCAAACTGTCTCTCCTTCAGAATTCGTAAAACAATTCTTAAGTGCTCGATATGCTCCTCCTTAGTTTTTGAATAAATTAGGATGTCGTCAATGAACACTACCACAAATTTATCCAAAAACTCATGGAAAATTTTGTTCATGTAGTCCATAAACACCGCAGGTGCATTGGTCACTCCAAACGGCATTACCAAGTACTCATAGAGACCATACCACGTCCTAAATGCCGTCTTAGGGACATCATCCTCTTTCACTCTGATCTGATGGTACCCCGACCTCAAATCAATCTTTGAAAACACCGCAGCTCCCTTCAGCTAGTCCATCAAATCGTCAATTCTCAGTAATGGGTACTTATTCTTAATTATGACCTTGTTCAACTGGCGGTAATCTACGCACATTCTCAGACTTCCATCCTTCTTCTTCACCAACAACACTGGCGCTCCCCATGGTGATACACTTGAACACAGGAACTACTTCTGTAACAAGTCCTTCACTTGCTTCTTGACCTTTGCTAACTCCACAGGTGACATCCTATAAGGTGCCACAAAAATCGGACTTGCCCCTGGAATGAGATCAATAGTAAATTCTATCTCTCTTTTTGGTGGTAACTCAGAAACATCCTCCAGAAACACTTCCAAGAATTCTCTCACTACCGGTATACACTCCAATTCCATTGCATTCTCGGCCTCCATTGAAAACATGACCATAAAGGCCTTGGCCTCCATCATATTTTCCCTTGCTCCACGGCTTAAAAGTCTCAGAATTTCTAACATTGATGCACCAAAGATCAACGTCTTTTCTCTGCAGTCCAATAACACATGGTTGGCGGCTAACCAATCCATCCCCAAAATTACATCTAACTGAGAAATAGGCAAACAAATCAAGTCTACCTCAAACTCCCTACCATGCACCATGATTGCACATCCCAAACATACCCACGATGTCACAACCAGTTTACCCGTAGGGGTAGTCACCATGACGTTACACGGCAATTCAGTCACATACAAATTTAGACTCTTCACACAATTCGCGGAAATAAAAGAGTGCGTAGCACCCGAGTTAAACAACACATCCAACAACTGACCCTTAATAGTGCATTTACCTCGGATCAGCTCCTCAGACTATGATGCCTCCGTTCCACTCATAGTAAAGACTCTTCCTGGTATGCTCGGCTTTGGCCCAGTGCTCGGCCCAATGCCCCTTCTAGATTCAGGTCTTTGAGCTGAGCTTGTACTGCCGCTCCTCTTTGAGGACCAGCACACATTGGCAGTGTGTCCCAACTTCCCATAATTTGCGCAGTTTGTTCTTGGATGTGGACAATCTCTCAGCATGTATGGCCCTTCACACCGAAAACATTTGATCGGCCCTCTGAAAGAGCTAGTACCAGAACCACTCCACTGTTACTCTTCTCTTGGGATGAACTTCCTCTAGAGTGAGACTTGCTTGAGCCTGAATATGGTCCCTTCGAAAATCTAGGGGGTCTTCTATCATGCCTCCTTGGACCACTCCCTCTAGTGTCCACGGTCTTGCCTTCTGAGTTGGCCTCAAAAATTCTGCTCTTACTCACCAAGGTGGGTAAGTCCGTCAGCTGAAATACACTGACTGCAGCTCTAATGTCTGGCCTCAGCCCATGCTCAAACAGAGAACACAGGTCTTCCTCTCCATCTCCATGCTAGTAGTAGGGCTAGTACTTCATCAAATCTTGAAATTTTGCAGCATACTCTCCTACAGTCATACTCCCTTGTCTCAGTTCGAGGAACTCCCTAGCTTTCTTCTTCTTCAAGTCTCGGGGAAAGTAATTCCCCAAGAAGATGGTGCTGAAAACTTCCCACCGTATATAGCCATCTTCTTGTGGTAAGGTTTGACCAGCAAACCTCCACCAATCTTTAGCCTCCCCACACAGCAAGTAGGTGGCATAGGGGACTTTGTGCTCCTCATGGTACCCCATAGCGTTGAAAACCTTCCCTACATCAGCTACCCATCTCTGGGCTCCTTCAGGGTTAAACCCTCCCTCAAATCTTGGAGGATCATGCCTAGTGAAGGTAGATAACCCTTTGTACTCCACTGGTTCTCCACCTTGGTTATGCACCAAGGCCTCCAGCATTTGAGCTATGCGCTCCATAGGATCCTCGGTGTTCCTAGCTCCTCTACCTCTACCTCTACTAGCCATGCTTTATCTAAGCTCATCACAGTCAGCAAACAACATTCCAGCATATTAGATCAATTATAACATTTATAAATCAAGTAATCAAAACAATCAACACTTATCTAGGACGCTTTAGCCCGTTACCCCAGTCCGATTAGATGAACTGCTCTGATACCAAATTGTAACACCTTAATTTTAAATTTCTAAATAAATATGTTTTTACAAAGTTCAGAGTAACAAAAATTTTCCATTCAGATAATTGTTCAGGCACAATTTCATAAAATGTTTCAAATAAGAAATTAGAGTACAATTTGCATCATTACTTGCTACAGGACTAAAATATACATCAGATCTTAAGAATAAATTTTGTAAGTCCTATAGCGGTTTCATCCTTCCTTCCTTCAGGGGCCCCAGTGTTGATTGTCTTGGTTACCTGAAAAACAAACGTAAGGGTGAATCCTTTACACTAGTAGAAACACATAGACAAGCATTAGACTCACCTGACTCATTATGTATAAATTCTAATCATATTAGGAGTATACGTCAACGACCATCATACATCCAAATTCTCAATCACAATAGGTGCGTTCACTGCACCTATTTACAAATCCACACATTTACACAAACACACGTGCGCTCACTGAACGTAGCCACGCTTACTGTGACACTGTGATCACAGATTCCTGATGCCCTCAACCTCAGGGACTTACTCAGTTATACTATGGATGGTCGCCCGAATAGCTCCTGCTCCACGGATACAACATGTGCGGTATTGAGCCCCCAGGCAAAGGTGTTAGTCAGAGGCCGAGTCAGGAGAAGAGTGTGTGGCCTGGGATGCACCCACGCTCACTATTGGTGTCACCACCACCCTCTCTTCTCCAAGGTATTTCTACCGCCCCCATCTTCCACACCCCCAGTGTATCTCTGAACCATTCATAGTTCCAACACCTAAACACATCACCATTCATTCAACATGTTATCCACACTCATTTCCAACCATTTCATCACAATCGTCACACATCATGCTCAACGTATTCACAATCACATTTCTATCATACACACATCATTTCCTTGCATCCAATGACAACCAACACAAATCACATCACTTAATTTCACACAATGTGCCAGAGGTCGGACACCTCCGGACTCAACCCAATTCGTACAATCCATTAATACACACATTTTTGCCTCCCATTTCTATCTCATTGCCATAAACAACTAAATAGACCTATTTCTAACAAAGATAACTAGAGTAAAGTCCTCCCCTTACCTCAAAATGAAGATCCAATCCAAAATAATGATGGAAACGGCCCCCCACACGTTTTTTACCCTAAATCACACAGAAATTTCATGGGAACTCAGAGAGAACCTTGGAAATAAGAGAGAGGGACTAAAAACCAAAACCCTAGCCATGGAAACTTACCTCCAAGAGCTCCAAACGTGTCCCTCACTTTCAATCTAGCTTTCAAACGTCCTTGGAGGGGTTCTAATCGGTAGGAATGGATTTAGGTAGAGAGAATTGTGAAGGAGAGAGAGGGAAATTGTGAAAAATAACCCTTTCCTCGAACCCTAACCCTTCAAATACCCCTCTGGTCGCAACACTCTCGCTGCAGCGACGCCCTCTGTCTCTACAGCGTAAAACTTAGACAAATCTGCACTCTGGTTTCTGCAGAATCTCGCTACAACGAGACCCTCTCGCTATAGCGAGATTGAACCCAAAAATGCACCCTAAACTGTCGCTCTGTCGCTACAGCGAGACGTCTCTCGCTACGGCGAGAAGGCGACAGTTGCATGCCTTCCTCCCAAGGACCTCTCGCGACAGCGAGAATGCCTTGCACCAAAACTTAACCTATTTCTTTCAATCCAAATTTAAATCACACACATGTATACATATATTTACATATATATATATATATATATATATATATATATATATATTCACACACACATTCCCATCAAACTAAGGCACATCCGTACATCCATATCACCATCAAGTCAATCATCATACCACAAAATAGTAAATATATATATATATATATATATATATACTCAAACAATATTACATTTTTGGGGCGTTACACCCACTATAAAATTTCTTCCTATTTTCAAATTATAGACAGAAAAAATTGTCTGTAATTCCTGTCTATGCAATTTTATGCCAAATAGCGGGCAAACTACAGATGGATTTTACAGATGGATTTTGATTCGTTTGTAATACAAACAGATTTTGATCCGTCTATAAAATCTGTCTATATATACCATTTTTCTAGTAGTGAGTGGTGTAGTTGTACCAATAATGGCTAAAAGGAAATATCAACAAAATTTATCTAAAGGAAAATTCATTATAGGCTATAACATGGGGTTGCTTTTCCACTTTTTGACCAAGGATAGAACCCACTGCAAAGTTCGAAGCATCACACATAAGCTTGAATGAAATCTCCCAACTTAGGGGCTGAATGATTGGAGTAGAAGTGAGGCACCTTTTCAGCTCATCAAAAGCGTCCTTGCAGGTTTGATCAAAGATGAAATCAGTATATTTTTGCAAAAAGGTAGATAATGGGTACGCGATTATGCTGAAATCCATAATGAAGCATCTATAGAAACCTGCATGGCAAAGAAAAGAATGAACTTCTTTCACAGAAGTAGGGTAAGGTAAAGGAACAATTACATCAATCTTGACTCTATCAGTCTCAATGCCCCTACTTGACACTGCATGCCCTAGTACAGTCCCTTTGGTCACCATAAAATGACATTTCTCATAATTTAAAACCGAATTGAACTGTATGCACCTATCTAATACTCTAGACAAGCTATCTAAACATGCATCAAACGAAGACCCATAAACAGTAAAGTCATCCATGAATACTTCAAGTGAGGTATATAAGAAGTCTACAAAAATGCTCATCATACACCTCTGAAAAATGCCAGGCGCATTACACAGTTTGAATGGCATTCGTTGGTAAGCAAAGGTACTAAAAGAACAAGTGAAGGTAGTTTTATGCTAATCCTTTGGGGCTATATGTATCTGAAAGTAACCAAAAAATCTGTCTAGAAAGCAGTAATGGGATTTCCCTACTATTTGCTCTAGACTTGATCAATAAAAGGCAGGGAAAAGTGGTCCTTGTGAGTGGCCTGATTCAGTTTCCTATAAATCAATACAGACTTGCCACCCATTCTGAATTTTGGTCAGAATCAACTCATCAAACTGGTTCTTTGTGACTGTTATGTCGGTCTTCTTAGGTACAACATGGATCAAACTCACCCACTCGCTATCAGAGATCGGGTATATCATGCCAGCAGCTAACAGTTTGTCAACTTCTTTCTTCACCACCTCTAGAAGGGTAGGATTCAGCCTTCTTTGGGCTGTCTCACAGGTTTTGCATCTTCATCCAGTAGAATTCTATGCATACAATTGGATGGGCTAATTCCTAGAATGTCTGTCAAAGTCCACCCAATTGCTTGCTTGTGGGTTGCTAAAGTTGCAACAACTTCTCCTCTTGTGCAGCTGTCACACAAATTGGAGAACTAACTAGCAAGTATACTAGGTAGTTGTAGCAAGTAATAAAATTTGGAAATCAATGTGAGTCCCAAGTATTGTCCTCAGGGATTAGTTCTATCAATTACCACTTCACAAATTAATAACTAGTTGAGCCAAACGAATTTGGAGTGTTTTGAATCATTTAACAAACAAAAGCAATAAAGTGCAAAAATCTGAAAAATACAGCAAAAATAGAAATACAAATTTTGTATTAAAATGATATATAGAAAATAGTTAGGAATCACTTCACCAGATTTTCTTTTGCAATGTAATAATGTTCTGGACTCTTAAGAATTCTAATTGATCCTAATATCTAATTAAACCTCCCTAATTCTTAGGTGAAAACCAAATATTGTATTAAGTTCTGGAAATTATAGGATTACTAGATTATGATACTTATTCCTAAGATCTCAATAACCTGGGCATATGATTCAAATCTAAGAAATAAACTCAATTTCCATTGATGAAGATTCCTCTAAATTCAATTGAATGCAGGATTAGTTTAACTCTGCATTAAGAACAGAATCACTGATGAATCCATATTTTTACTAGTATTTTACTATATTTTAATCCATTTGATAAGGAAAATATGTTGGAAAAACAGAAAAACTCATAAAAAAATAGAATGATTGAAGGTTTTTTGCAATACATAGTTATTTTAGCATTTGTATATTTTGGGCATAAAAATTAATAATTCAAGCATGTTTTCGTAGAAAATCCTGAGCAAAGTTAATGAAGATGGAAGATTAATGGAGAGATAAAAGAAAAGTAGCAAGTCTGGACTCAAAGAACAAGATTTATGGATTTTGGGCTGGGCGTGATCACTCTTTCCAGTGAAAGTGAGTGATCCAGAGCTTAAATGAGAAGTAGAGTTCGGGCGTGGTCATTATTATCAGCGAAAGTGAGCATTTCAGAGGGGTTTCAGACTTAGCAAGTAGCGCGTTGTCACTTTCGCTGGCGAAAGTGAGCGTTTCAGAGGAACCCATTCACAACAAAGAGCGTGTTACCACTCTTACTGGCGAAAGGGGATGTTCAAGAGAAGCTCCACATCAGCGAGAAGCGCGTTACCACTCTTACCAACGAAAGTGAACGTTCCAAAGAGACCTCAGCTTGGCAACTTACGCGTGGTCACTTTTACTCATGAAAGTGAACACGCACACAACTCGACCTCCAGCGTTGCCACTCTTATGAATGAAAGTGATTGTTCCACTCTTCCAGAACACCATAGAAGCCTCTGCGTGGCTACTCTTGTGAATGAAAGTGATAACGCGCGGAGGCGGGAAAATCTATAAATTGCAAAAACGCTCAGATTTTTGGATCTTTTGCTCATTTTTCGTTTTCATTTTGTTCCTTGGTGTGGAGAAAGTCTGAGAGAGAGATTGGGGATGAACTTCGAGCTCCAACCTAGAGGAATCAGATTGGGGATTGACTGAAGATGGCTCTTCTGTGTTCTTGCTCTTCTTCTCTTTCTTTTTCTTTCTCTGCT